CAATTATTTATAAAAATTTACGGTTTCAATTCTTCATAAAAGTGATATACTTCGTTACATTAACAAAGAAAATAATAAAATAATAATAAAATTAGTTTTCTGTACAAATTCCGTATTAAGTAACAATTAACTCAATTAACAAAGCCACACAAGAATTCCATTTTCGCAGCAGAAATTTTATCGAACGAAAAAAACAAGAGCAAAATCATAAAAACGTTATCACAAAAACTACAATCAGAAGGTTTTTTTTGTAAACAAGCAACGGAAGATGCAGATGCTGACATAGTTAATACTTCGATCGAAATTGCAAAAGATAATCAAACAGTCGTCATTGTAGGTCAAGACATCGACCTTTTGGTCCTTTTACATTAGTTAAATTCAAAAAATTACGATATTTATTTTCAAAAACCCGGTTCCGGTAATGTTAAGGATTTATTTTACACCTCAAACTGTTTCAAGCATAAATCTGTCAAAAATGTTGTAGCTTTTTTGCATGGTTTTTCTGGATGCGATACAATATCTGCATTTGCAGGGAAAGGAAAAAAAACAACCGTAAAAGCATTATTGTCTGCTAAAAATTTGTCGACTTTAGCCAACGTTTTTTATCAGAAAGATGCAGACAAAGAAGTCATCGCAACGAATGGATTGCAATTAATAAAGACAATTTACAAATGCAACAAAGAAAGCATGACTTTGAATAAATTGCGATTCCAGAACTACCAAGCTGCAACAGTTAAATCGTCTTTTAAATTAGAAAAACTTCCGCCAACCGAAGACGCAGCAAAACAGCATTGTTACCGAGCATACTATCAGCTACAAACATGGCTCGGTAACACACTGAGAGCACTGGATTGGGGCTGGAAGCAGCATGATCGTGGAATGATGCCAATTTTTACCGACAATGATTTGATTCCGGACATTTTACTGAAAACTATTTGTTGCAGTTGTGAAACAGGCTGTAACAATAAAAAGTGTGGCTGTCGAAAATATGAACTTAAGTGCACAAGTTTGTGCTGTAACTGTCATGGCTCAGAAAAATGTTCGAATGTTGTCAAACAGCCATATGAAGAGTTGAGTGATTCCGAAGAAATTATTGAAGATGGACCGATACAAAGAACAACAAATGACGATGACGACGACGACGACGGCCTTGAAGATCTGAACTGAACTACTGATCAAAGTGGCATGGACTC